ATTGACGTAAAACCTACGTACGTTACGTGCCACGCATTCAGATAAAAAAAAATGATAAATATAGATCTGGAATTAATATCGCCTTATTTATCATACTGGATTTGAATAAGTTCAATGAACTTTGCCATTTCAAGTTGCTTTCATTATATTGCGATTTTTATGCTCGTTAGAATCTTATTACGCTGATATATATATATATATATATATATATATATATATATTTATATATTTATATAAATATATAATACTTTATCTTCTCCCATCGAGAAAAAAAATTTTCCCTTTTTTTTCCTTTTCACTTTCCATTTACGAATCTAGATTATTTGTAGCAACAAGGTTTTTTTCTCATATCACGCACTTGTATCTTGTTAATAATACGTAATCCTTGAAATGTAGATAAAAATCATGCATTCTTTACGCCAATAAAACTTTTATAATTAAGCCTTAGAACGCGTTTCACCTCACGTTTTAGCTGAAATACTTTCGAACATTTTTTCGCGATGCCGCATAAGCGGCATCCGTGACCGGCATTTCCGACCTAATTCTATTCGGAGTGGCCGACGTTATCATTTTCTGGCATATAACGACGTCCTGACGGTATTGTCGTCAGCTTCCTGACGTCGTCGACGACGCGCCGTGCTTTTCACATTAGCGGACGCCATCATCGGGATACGCCGTGTCCACGGAATGTTACGTAAAGATACATTAACGTACGGAAGCAACACGTTAAGTGACACTCAGTGTTCAAGTCGCACAGCCATAACTACATCGTTTTGTAAAGACTGTAAGACGAAAAGAAAATAGAAGAAAGATTGACACAAGAGACACAGTCGTATAACGAAGATTTCTCAAAAAGTGAAATTCGAGAAGACAAATAGTGTCATGGAAATAGTCACAGAAATGGAAGAGATGTATAATTTGACGTTGAGTTACCGTAAAAAAGAAAAATATTGCCGTTAGTTGAAAATAGTCGCGGCTATAGCTGGAGGTCAACTTTGTCGAGCAAGAGCGGCATTCACTTTCAAAAGGGAGATGAAAAGCTGCTGTGAAAAGAAATGCCAGCCTCTATCATCGCGCGAATTTCAACGATGTCGCCGGGCGTTATCGATCGAGAGCGGGAGCGTGACGATTATATCTACGAGAACGTAACAATTACGACATAGAATTCCTTTCAAGGATTCGCTTCGTGATTCATGCCGGGTATACGGGACAAGCGTTGCGCTCATCTTTCACCGCGAAAGCTCGTGCGGAATCGGCAGAAGGATGTGCCTTTTTAAGAAAGGATCGTGTACGAAACGCATAATTAATAATCGGACACGTTTCAACGAAGAGTGTCATGGACTCTTTGAATTATGTCGAATTATGTCAATTAATTATACAAAATTTTAAAAAGCGCTCGATTAATTTTTGAGACATATCTTTTTCATGTCGTTTGTACAGTACGCGGTTTTGACGAGCTGCATCTCGTTTGTTTCTTTTTCTCCTTCAACATTATTACTATAAAAACGTTTTTAAATTCAATATAATATAAATGCTTCTCCCGCATTTTAATTTCGTATTTATTTTACACAAGTTTATCGTTCTTACCTTTCTTATATATTATCCACGTATGACTGCAACGTAGTTTTTTTTTTTTATGTAAATTCTCATCTCATTCGAAGTTATTTTCTTAATATTTTACTCATTTGATATTCCATGTCCCGTATATTAAACAGTGAAAATTCGATCATCAATTGTATCTGTTAAAAAGCAACGACTATTCAGATTGCGATTAAATAAAAAAAAAAAAATAAAAACCAAGGTAAAGGAAGGGGATTTACAAGACATTTATCTAACCAACGAATTTATCTCCGCGCCGAACAAGCTAAAGTAATTATCCGAGGAAGCAGCGTTCCGTACAAACTAATGCGAGATGCGGAATACGCGGAAGCAGGAACATTTATTACAATAATTGCAAAGCAATCAGTTTCTCGCATCCATTGCTTATTTTACTTCCTTGCACGATCTTTTAACATTTCCACCCTTTGTTAAATAAATAATAATTTTATCATGTATTTTATAATGTTATCGATTACTATTTGTAGTATTATAATTCTTATCTAGATTATTATAGCTTATTGTATCGTGATAACTAATTTAAACAATTATATCTAGGATGAATGTAATAAACCTAATTAATAATATTATAATATAATATTTATAATTTAATACATAATTGTAATACTTAATAATTAATAATTTAATACTTGGTAATTAAATATTTGTAATATTTATAATTATCTAAATGTACTAGTTTTCTTGAATATTAAAAAAATATTAATTCGTAATAAAAAAAACTATGGCAATTTTCACATCAAAAATTTTAATGAGAAAATTCCGTCGGGATTAAAGCTTAATAATCTATAGTAGTGTCTATGACATCGCAGTTCAACGACTTAACGTTGGTAGTTCGCGTTGTACTAACACATACAAGAATAGAAATATGTTGATTAAGTTCTCGGAAACAAGTTAAAATGTCATGGGATTACATAGAGTATAACATAGACGATCTAAAAATATTAACAAGTCTATTCTTTGTAACTTAAATCGATTCAAGAAAAGGTACGGAAAGTTTTGCAAATGCGCACCTAAATTTGCAAGTAAACAAATAAGAAAATGTTGAGCAAAATCATTCAAATAACTCCCTGAATATTCTCTATCCAAGCATTTACATTATCATGCTAAATATGTTCTTTGACAGTTGGATTATCGGACATTACGCAACAATCGACGTAATCATTGAACGAATTGCAAATGAAGTTATTATGTCATTAAGATATTAGACATAGATAGAAAAGCGTTAATAAAGCACAATTTTAATAACTCTGCTCGTAACCAGTGTAAAATATCGATTACATTCCCGCAGAAAGAGACAAGTTGAAGCAAAGAGATTTATCTCGCGTAATATTTCACCGCAACGTTTCTTGACTGTACCGAGAAAACGGGGGAATCAGTCAAAAGAAGAGAAAGAATGCAAGACATAAGGAACAAAGTGAAACTTAATATCTTATACCAAAGCAACAGTTGATTAAAGTTCAAGGGTTAATTCAAGCTCCAATTTCATTCAGAAGTGAGCTAATGAGTAAAACTGAAATGCAAGAAAACAAGCGTGCCAATAAATAAATAAAGTAATATCATATTTTTTTATAAAAGAAATATCTATATTTCTCATTCAATTCAATTAAATTGTATTTTTTAACTTATAAATAATATATAAATTTCATATAACTTTTATATATATATATATATATATATATAT